TCCCCCACTCTGATCAGAGGCAGGGCCTGTTGGGAGGTTGTCATAACTACAATAAGACTTCTAAGAACAAATGTTATCTTCAATCAGAAGACTTTCTCAAAGACAAAGCATTTTATTTTAACATAAAATAACTTGGAGTATGGAAATAAAGAGTTGTAACATTTTATGTATATAAATACTTTATGGAGTTTCAACTCAATTTAAAATTTTGAAAAAGAGCCATATAAAGAAACCTGATAGATAAGGATGAAGTGATACCTGCAGAGCTTCAGCTATTCTCTCTACCAAACCAAAAACAACATCTTCCAAATCTTGAAAGGTAGGGTAAAATTCCATTTTCTCATCATCAATTGTCAATTCCATCTTAAATATCGGCAGCCCTCGTTCATCTCCTTGGTCAAAGAGTTTTACAAATCCTTCTATAGTTCTCTTTAAGAGATCCTTTATCTGCATGATATTATAAATTGCTATTAATTTCAAGAGTACAAGTTCAACCTTAAACTAAAATAAGTGTATAATCAAGTCATTCTATCAATCCATTTAGTCCTGAAAATTATCTTCATTCAGCACATATGTTCTTTTGTTGTTGTTGTTAATACTCACCTAAGGACATTTTTTCCATTGCTCTTCAGAGAGAGTGAAGGGAGTGAGGGGTGGGAGAAGAGAGAGAAACATCAATGTGAGAGACATCCACTGGTTGCCTTCCGCACGCACCCCAAACAGGTGGGGAAAGTAAACCTGCAATCCAGGTACATGCCCTTGACCAGGAATCATACCCAAAACCCTTAGGTATGTGGGGAGACACTCTAACCACTGAGCCATGTTGGCCAGGGCTGTTTTTTTTTAATCCTCACCTGAGGATATGTTTTTATTGATTTTAGAGAAAAAGTGAGAGAGAGAGAGAGAGAGAGAGAGAGAGAGAGAGAGAGAGAGAGACATCGATATGAGAAAGAAACATTGATCAGTTGCCTCCTATTAGCATCCAACCCAGGATCAAACCCACAACTTAGGTATGTACCCTGACCAGGAATTGAACCCACAACCATTTTGGTATATGGGGTGACACTCCAACCAACTGAGCCACCTGTCAGGGCAGCACAGTATGTTAATAAATGTAGTCTAAAGTAATAAATGGAAAAATATATGCAAACTTTCATATTTTTATAGAATATCAACAATCTTAAAATGGCAACTCAGAATCTTCCACACTCTAGTTATTTTGTCCCTGATATAGAAAACATTTCAGAAGACCAAACAACATGGTGAAGACTGAGGGTAGGGGAGCCCTGACCCTTATAGTGAGGGTGTCATGGGATGACATGTACATGGGGTGAGGGGCAGTGGTAAAGATACAGCTAGCTGCTATTGTCACAAGAGTCAAATGTTCAATATTATTAATTTTGTGAGCCTGTTACTAAACCTTTGGATGCTTGAAAATCATCATGGTGGGATTATTTATGCCATGGAAATTAGCAAACACTACAAAACAGGGTGGTTGTTATTGTTGTTTCTGGAGAGCCAAATTTCCAGCACACCATTTGGTTAGCGTGAAGCTACTGGAACTTAGAATGTGCACAATACATGACCAAAGTATGAATAATCTCTCTATATAAAAGCCAAGCAACCAGCACACCGAAACAACCATAACAACTGGAACGACCAGTCGCTATGACATGCACTGCTGCTAGCCAACTGGCTGATGGGGGGTGGGCGGTTCCTCCACCCCAGATGGCCCCACCCACAATAGGCCCCCCAATACCTTGATCGGAGGTGAGGCTGGCCGGCCAACCTCCTATGTTCCCTCCCCCGAGCTGGCTCAGCCCAATCGGCCCCCATGGGAAGTCCAGCTGGACCCCACCCATGCACAAATTCGTGCACTGGGCCTCTAGTGTATTCTTATAATTCACCAACTATTGGAAATTTACCCAAACAGGACAAATATAGATCTAAATGATCTTCAAAATGTTCCTCATCTCTTTACTTCTCATCAAATGATCATAGTTCTCTTAAGGGGATAAAGACAGAAAGAAAATCATATATATTAGTTATAGTATTATATACTATATATATATATATATATATATATATATATATATATATATATATATATATGAGAGGCCCAGTGCACAAATTCATGCACAGGTGGGTCCCTCTGGGTGGCCTGCAGGGATCGGGCCAAAACCCGCAGTCAATGCCACCTGCAGCTCCTACCTGCTGCTCCCACTCATCCTGGCCCCACTGTACCTGCCACAGGCTCGTGTCCAATCAGTCTCGACCTGGAGAGGCTCATACTGACGCAGCAGTGCTCACCAGCCATGAGCCCTGTGTCTGGTGCCCTTCCGAGGGGAGTGGCTTTCGGGATCTGGCTGAAACCGGCTCTCCGACATCCCCGAGGGCTCCCGGATTGCGAGAGCTTGCAGGCCAGGCCGAGGGATCCCACTGGTGCATGATCGGGCAGGGGAGGGACCGCAGGAGGGCTTCAGGGCGGTCCAGCCCATCTCGCTTAGTCCCGATCGGCCAGACCCCAGCAGCAAGCTAATGTACTGGTCGGAGCATCTGCTCCCTGGTGGTCAGTGCACGTCATAGCGAGCGGCTGAGCAGCCTTAGCATATCATTAGCATATTACGCTTTAAGTGGTTGTTCTGCTGTTCAGTCTATTTGCATATTACCCTTTTATTATATAGGATTATCCTTTTAAAGATACATTGCAAAATTCATAAAATCTTTGGAGATCTTTACCAGCCATAGGGGAAGGTTCTTTGTTTAAAAAATTTTTTTTCATTGATTTTATAGATAGAGGTCAGAAGAGGGAAAGAGAGATATATAAACATTGATAAGAAACATCAATATCAACTGGCTACCTCCTGCATGCCCCCTACTGGGGATTGAGCCCACAACCCAGGTATGTGCCCTGACCAATCGAACTGCATCGATACTTAACCACTGAGCCACACCAGATGGGCCACAGGGGAAGTTTTTATTCAAAACTCTTTTTCTAGCCCAGCCAGCATAGTTCAGTGATTGAGTGTCAACCTATGAATTGACCCAGGTTGCAGGCTCGATCCCCAGTGTAGGGAGTGCAGGAGGCAGCCAATCAATGATTCTCTCTTCTCACTGATGTTTCTATCTCTCCCTCCCTCTCCCTTCCTTTCTAAAATCAATAAAAAATAAGTAAAGACTATATAAAATCGCCGAACCGGTTTGGCTCAGTGGATAGAGAGTCGGCCTGCGGACTGAAGGGTCCCAGGTTCGATTCCAGTCAAGGGCATGTACCTTGGTTGTGGGCACATCCCCAGTGGGGGCATGCAGGAGGCAGCTGATCGATCTCTCTCATCGATGTTTCTGGCTCTCTATCCCTCTCCCTTCTTCTCTGTAGAAAATCAATAAAATATTAAAAAAATAAATAAATAAAATAAAATGATGCAGCCACTTTGGAAAAAGTCTGGCAGTTCTTAAAAAATTAAAACAAACAAACAAAAAAAACCCCTCTTTTTCTAGAATTGTTTTTCTGCAATAGTAAAAACCTGAAGAGCATAAAATTAATATTCTCTTTCTGTTTGTCATTTAAAGATGATCAATAACATTTTGAACCAAGATTTTACAGAGAATGAAATGAGAATCCATCAACTTGGAATTTCATAATTTAAAAAAAAATGTTTACTAGGATAGTCCTTTTGTTAATATATTTCAATAAAACTTATAATCTTTAAGCATGAGCCCAGTAATCATTCACAATATTGATACATACTTCTAGACTTTCCATTTTAGATTGTTTCAGAAATAAAGCATTTTTCTGCTTAATTTATTAAAATAAAATTATGTTGAAGGCAAAGATCAACAGTAATTAATATACAAATGCGAGAAGTCCTTCAGAAGGCTGAATGGGGCTTTGAAATTCAGCAAGGCTGAATATCTGCATGTTACCTGCTGCTAACTGAGTGGCCCAAGGCAATCCCCTAACCTGATAATCTTTTACTGTTTACTAAACTTTACCTTTGATATGCCTGTTTGCATTCCTAAAGGGTAATTGTGTATCCTAGTAAATGAAAAGGAGATGGATCTGGAGATTCAGTGGAGCTTAGTCACTAGAACTAAGTTTCCATCTGGCTTCCCCCATAATTTCTAAATTTATATATCTTGTCTTGTATATTAATTTGCATGTCAGCTCTTTCTCCAGGCTTTGAACCCAAGCTATGCAGGCTGTGGTTTCACAAAATTATACTAAAAATATTTTTATAACTTACTTCAAAATAATTACTTAACACTATGTCTAAATAGAATTTTATTTAAAACTAGAGGCCCGGTGCACAAAATTCGTGCACTCGAGGCGGTGGGGGGGCAGTGTCACTCAGCCCAGATTGCGAGAGGGCGCAGGTGAGACCAAGGGACCCCACCGGTGCACAATCGGGGCTAGGGAGGGACACGGGAGGTTGGCCAGCCGGGGAGGGACCACGGGAGGGATCCTGGGCATGTCCAGCCCATCTTGATCAGTCCCAATTGGCCAGACCCCAGCAGCAAGCTAACCTACTGGTCAGAGCGTCTGCCCCCTGGTGGTCAGTGCATGTCATAGTGACTGGTCGACTGTCTGCCCCCTGATGGTCAGTGCACGTCATAGCAAGCAGTTGAGTGGCCTTAGCATATCATTAGCATATTACACTTTGATTGGTTGAATGGCTGACCAGAAGACTGGACACTTAGCATATTAGGCTTTCATTGTATAGGATATCAAACTAATTTTAATAACATTATCACTTAAAATACATAAAACATATTTACCTGATTTGACATAAGTGTTGAAACACAGTTATAAAATGAATCCAACTTTTCAGGTTTAATGCCTTCGAGAGCTTCCTTCTTGGTAAAAAGATTTATAACCTTTGTATACCATGTGTTCATTATCTTCTCTTCTGCCTTCCTAGCTTGTATTGATAGATCATTTTTCAGTGATTCACAATCAATTGGGCCTTTAGCTCTATTTATGAGAAAAATGAAAATGATTTTAAAGCAAATGATAGATACTGGTCTTGATATGTAATTGTTAAAACAAATAAAAAATTTAAAATTTTTTGAAATCTAAAGAAAAGTTCTGAAGATTTATCAGTGAGTTTTAAAAATTATATAGTCAAAAATATAAAGACTCAAACAGGAGACATTCACATTTTAAATGTTAATTAATAAATATGGGTTTTACCTAATTCCTGTTAAGTCCAGCAAAAGTGTATTAGCAAATGTCTTGTAACCAAGGTCCAGTAACATCTTCATAATTGGATGAACAATGTGCAAATTAGATAGTATTTGATTTCTTGCCTGCACATAGCTACAATGCCAAGGATTGGAATAATCTAGGCCTCTGGAAAGCAATACACCATGTTAAACAGGATTCAAACAATATACTCTAAGTTTTAGGAATAATATTTATGATATGGAATTAATATTAAAGAGAGAAAACTGCGGATTAAGAAGAGGGAAATCCTAAGGGCATGGAAGCCTTAGGAAATATGCATGTAATAAAAATACATCAAGATTTTGAAAGTGCATTATCCTCAGAGAGATCAGAGGTCATTTAAATTTTTTAAATTAAATTATTGGAGTAACATTGATTAATAACATGGTTTCAAGTGTACAACTTTATAATACAACATCTGTATATTCCATTGTGTGCTCACCACCCTAAGTCTAGTCTCCTGTCACCAAATATTTGACACCCTCTATCCTCTTCATACTCCCCCTACCCCCTTACCCTCTGCTAACCACTATACTGAGAACAAAGATCATTTGTGGGTAAGGAAGGCTGATGGGTCAGGCATGAGTACCCTACTAACTTCCACTGTGCTCTGGCTCAGTTACCTTGGGCAGAGATAAATCAACACAGTCCTTAGTAATGGGGAGAAGGGAAGGAGAAATCTATTTGGCATACACCGAAGCTCACTTAAGGTCAAATTGAACTGTGCATCCATATGCACAGTTCCCCTAATTGTATAGACTAAAACTACATAAGTACAGAGGATACTTTGGGGGAAAAAGAAAAACAACAGTAGTACTATTTTTTTAGGTGTGTTCAAAATACCTTTGAGTTTCACAGCTGTAGACTTAAATAAAAGATCAGTTTATTTTCTTTTTCTTAAATATTTTTATTGATTTCAGAGAGGAAGGGAGACAGAGAGAGAGAGATGGAAACATCAGTGATGAGAGAGAATCATTGATCGACTGCCTCATGCCCTTCACTGGGGATCAAGCTCACAACCCGGGCATGTCCCCTTGACTGGAATTGAACTCACGACCTTTCAGTCCACAGGCCGACGCTCTATCCACTAAGCCAAACCAGCCAGGGCAAGATCAGTTTATTTTCAATCTATTATCAAAACCTAGGTGCAACACTGTTTTGAAAATAATTTACTCACACAGGGAATTCAGGTAAAGGACCTCCATCATCTTCAAGCCAGTTAACTGGAGGTTTCATAAGAACACTCTTCACTAAAATACATATATGTATTAATACTTCTTGAAAACCCTTTAAAGATGATCAATAACATTTTGAACCAAGATTTTACAAAGAATGAAATGAGAATCCATCAACTTGGAATCTCATAATTTCAAAAAAAATGTTTACTAGGATAGTCCTTTTGTTAATATACTCCAATAAAGCTTATACTCTTTAAGCATGAGCCCAGTAATCATTCATAATATTGACACATACTTCTAGACTTTCCTCCCATTTTAGATTGTTTCAGAAATAAAGCATTTTTCTGCTTAGTTTATTTAAATAAAACTATAGTTATTTTCTATAACTCAAATCAAAGTTTCTAACTCTTGATATTGAATGGTACAGTTTATTGTACATTAAATGAGTATAAGAAAAAAATCCCTTTACTTGCAACAAAATCACACTTTTGATACTGCTTTGGCCTTACTTTGAAGGTAAATTCAAATATGGTACAGCTTTAGTAAGTTCTCAGTTATTCTCTTTCTGTCTACTGAAAAGTCACTGCCATGGCCTCTTAAGAAAATTTATTCCAATAAAAATTGCAAAGGTTAAATCCCTAATAAATCTCCCCAAATCTGTTAATTTTATCTTACAATCCAGTACATAGTGTAGCAAGAATTATAAAGACAAAGTGAAAATTTAAAAAGCTATTTAGCTAATAAGCATATAAAAAATTACTAAAAATGGCCTTAAATTGCAAATATTTTGACATTATAGGCTCAAAATAAACATTTAAATAAAAATAATATTTAAGAATACATATAGCTAAAAATATAACATGCATTATTCATATTTCTGCTTTTTATTGGGAGGAGCAGGGGAGCAACGGTGCTATATATTACTTACCCAAATACCTCTTCGTGCTTTTTTCAAAGTCACTTGACACTTCACTGATGAGACTTTGAAGGAGTTCCTCTCTTTTTTTCCCTTGCTTTAAAGACTCAGGTACCAGCATTAACATGTGATCCAGCCATTCCTGCTGAATAGGTACTATAGGACTACTTTCTACACATTGCTTCATATAAATATAGTTCAACTGAGAACGTAATAAGAAAAAAGCAAATGTTCTAAATGAAGTAGCATTTCAATGTAACTACTAAGCTCTGTGTTCTCAAGACAAAATTTTCCCTGAGAATAAAAATACTAGTATATTGCGAAATAACATACTTTCAGAATAAAAAGATTTTAACCCAAAGTACAATCTACAGATACCATTTTATATTCTTCTTTATTTATGATGAGTTCTCACCTAAATAATGTTCTTGGTATATTTCTCCTTTTCTCAAGGCAAAACAAAGACGTTTTATCTAACTTCCTTAACTCAACAAATATTCACAAATTCAACAAATATTTAGATATTGTTCCAAATGCTAAGGATACAGTAGTAAAAACAAAACATACAAAGCCCATGCTGTCTTGGAGATTATATTCTGGTACAAAGCAGTATAGTATAATTTCATAAATTCTCCCCTAGCAATGAGAAGTATAACAAAAATAGACACAAATAAATAGAAAGACAACACTAGATCTTGGTGAAGACATTTTAACATCATGAAAATTTCAGTTGGTACCAAAATTAAATTAATGCAATACTAATATAAATATCTACACATATTTTATGGAACTAGACAAGCATAGAATTCATGTGGAACAATAAACATGTGAGAATAACCAAGAAATCCCGGAGAAAGAAAATCTACAAAAAAGGACTAGCCCTAGGAGACATTAAAATATACTATAAAATTTCTTTAATTAGAACTGTGTAGTACAGGTGCATTAATAGATAAATCAGTGGTAAAAAATGAAAAGTCCAGAAATAGGTCCAGTTCATAAGAAATTTTAGTATATGGTAAATGCGGCATCTCAAATCACTGGAGCAAAGATGAAGTTGTTTCTTTTTATTTTATTTTTTAATGATTTCAGAGAGGAAGGGAGAGAGAGACAGAAACATCAATAATGAGAATCATTGATTGGCTGCCTCCTTCATGCCCCTTACTGGGGATTGAGCCTGCAAGCCTGGCAAATAAACCGTGACCTGGTTCATAAACCACTAAGCCACACCAGCCGGGCCAAAGATGAAGTACTTAATGAATAGTTCTGGGATAACTGGTTAGCCATGTGGAAAAAGAAAAATATAATCAATACCTTACACTATACACAAGAATAAGTTCCATATAGTTCAGGAATTTAAATTAAACAGTGGAACTATACAAAGACTAGGGGGAAAAGAATAAATTTTTCTATAACTTGAGTGTATAGAAAAATTTCTTTGCTTCAAATTCCAGATACAAAAGGGAAAAAATAATTGAAAAATTCTGACTACATAAAAATATTTGCATGGTAAAAAAAAAAGTCACAATATGAAGGTCAAAAGACAACTGACAATCTGGTATAAAATATTTGCAATATATATCTCAAGTAAAGTATAAAAAATACTTAAATTTAGTAAATGGATGAACCTTGAGAACATTATGCTAAATTAAATAAGCTGGTGACAAAAAAACCAGCATATTATTCCACTTATATGAGGTATCCAGAGTAGTCAAACTCAAATTCATAGAAACAGGAAATAGAATGGTAGTTGCCAGGGACTGAAGAGAGAGGCAAATGTGGAGTTGTTATTTAATAAGTTTCCGTTTTGAAAGATAAAGTTCTGGAAATGTGTTGCACAACAATATGCAAATACTTAACATCATTAAACTGTACACTTAAAATGTTTAAGGTAATTTTTTTGTTAGCCCAGCCGGCATGACTCAGTGGTTGAGTGTCAACCTATGAACCAGGAGGACACAGGTTCAGTTCCCAGTCAGGGCACTTGCCTGGGTTGCGGGCTCGATCCCCAGTTGGGGTGTGCAGGAAGCATCCAATCAATGATTCTCTCTCATCACTGATGTTTCTATCCCTCTCTCCCTTACTCTCTGAAATAAATAAAAATACATTCTTTTAAAAATAATAAATTTTATGTTAGTTGTATTTTATAATTTTTTTTAATTTAGGGGAAAATAAGACCAGAATCCAATAGAAAATTAGGCAGAAGATATAAACCATTTCACAATAAAAATATTATTAAAATGGCCCCTAAACTTATGAAAAAAATGTTAATCTCACTCATAATTAGACAAAGCAAATTTAAACCATCCTGAGATCCCATTTGTCAGCTAATTGAAAAAAAAAATACAGGTCCCACATAATGTGGTAAGACTATAAAGAAGCAACACTCTCATAAACTGTGAATAGGAAGGCAAACTACCACAACTCATGTGGAATGAAACTTTGTAATATCTAATAAAACCACATATTGACCCAGAAGTTCCACTTTTAGAAATTGAAAATACACCGTCAACAATATGGAAACACACATACACAAGGTTATTCACTGTAGCAAAATACTGGACGCATTTAAGAGGGGTTGAATAAATTATTATATATTCCACACATTGGTAGTCTGTGCAGCAGTAAAAAAGAATGAGGAAGTTGAATCAACACCTTAAATGTACACAATGTTATATATCAATTATATATTGATAAAGCTGGCAAAAAGAAAAGGATGAAAATCTCTATGAACTAATATGGAATGAGTTCTAGGATAAACAAAATGCAAAAGGATATTTATAATCTGATGCATTTTGTGCAAGATAAAAGAAAAAAACATATATGTTCTTTTATAAAAAATTAATCACAGGAAAAATAAGCCAGAAATAATGACCTTGGTTATATAAATGGCGAGTATTGGAATAGGTAGAAAATTTGGGGAGGGTGGGAACAGAGTAAAAGGGACAGAAGTATACATTTTACTATAGTTCTGACTTTTAAGCCATGCTATTGTTTCACATGCTCAAAATATAAGTAAAGAAAATCAGTAAGAATGAGGGGAAGAGAAACTCAAAATTTAAAACACACACACACACACACACACACACACACACACACACACACAGAAAGAAATGAAGCTAACTGGATATCAACTTAATAATATAGTCATACTGGAAGAGGTATAGAACTAACCATGGTAACTTTTGAACACAGCATTTAGACTGTGTACCTTCAAGCTAAGTACAAAAAAATATATAGAAAAACACTGAACTATAGTGAATAGGTTTGTTTTCATGTGTTATGAGTTACTAATTTTACAACTGTTTATGTATATTTTAGGATTTAATAAAATCTATATATATAAAAGCCTAATATGCAAAGTGTCCCCTCAGGAGTTCAACCAACCAGGAGTTCAACCAACTGGGAGTTCGATCACTCACTATGATGTGCACTGACCACTAGGGTGTGGCACAGAATGAAGGGAGGACCTGGCCAGCAGCAGGCAGCTGCTAGGGAACCTACCCATACACGAATTTCATGCACTGAGCCTCTAGTAAATAAATAATTGTGTTTCTTAAAAGCCACGTTTCTCAAAAGACTAGAATGAACCCTGTGATGTTGAATCAGAATAGGAGGCATTAGTATAAACTCATGGTTTTTAAGATAGATGGATCATAGAAGGATGGCTTCAGGGCAAGGGCAGGAGGAGCAGCTTTCTCTGCTGGCAGAAGACACTGTTCCTTTGCTGAGCCTCCCCCTTCAGCCATCAGTGACTGCCATACCTGAGTCTCCATCAACCTGGCTTACACCATTCTTCCTGCCCTGGTCAATTCCCTGAGACCCTGTCCCACTCAACTTGAGGACCTAACTAAGCTGCTTCCAATGGTGTTGCCATACAAATGGATCACACCCTGCAGACTTTCATAAAATCTCTCAAAGGTCCACAACCTGCAAACAAGCAGCACAATTGACCCCCTACAGCCCACCCCACCTATCACCCCAGGCCCTCACAGCTCCATTGTCTGTGGTCATGGGCCATGCATATATGCATACAAGGTTCTTGCTTGTTTTATAATGTTGAGTCTTGAGAGGTCTTTATAAATCCTAGAGATAAATCCTTTGTTGGACATGCAATATGTGAATATTTTTTCCCAGTATGTAGCTTTTTTATCCATCCTCTTAACATGGTCTTTCACTGAGCAATAGTTCTTTTTTTTTTTTTGCTAGTGCTTAACTTTTTATTTTATTTTATTTTATTTTATTTTATTTTATTTTATTGTTTTATTGCTTAAAGTATTACAAAGAGTATTACATATGTCTCCTTTTTTTTCCACCCTTGACAATCCCCTGGCCTGAGCAATAGTTCTTAATTTTGATGAAATATAATTTTGGGGAATTTTTATGGATTATGCTTTATGTGTCATGTCTAAGAACTCTTTGCCCAGCCTAGGTTTTCTTCTAAAATTTTTATAGTTTTACATTTCTCCCGTTTTTAATTATAAAACTTTAAAAAACAGTTTTACAATTTACACTTAAATCTATGATCAATTTTTAGTAATTTTTTTTACAAAGTGAGATGTTTAGGCTGAGGTTTGGGATCTTTCGTTGTTGTTTACTTGTTTTATTTTTTTATGGATGTCTACTTGCTCCACCCTATTTATTAAAAAGACTGTCCTTCCTCCATAGAATTGATTTTTGCACCTTGCTCAAAAATCAGTTGATTGCACTTGTGGGGTTAAATGGGTCATCTATTGTGTTCCATTGATCCATTTGTCCAATTATTCAAAAATAAAAGATTTTTTTAAAGTCAACTGGAGGTCTAGTGATAGAAATATTGGAAAAATATCTTTTTGATTTGGCAATTAGTGGTCAATGGTGACATTAATGATGAAGTGGTGGAGTTTCTAGAAGCCAGATTGCCAAGAGCAGTGGGTTCAGGAGTGAATGAATGTTTTTACACCCAGGTACCTATTTTAGATTGTAAAACACTAAAAGGCAAAAACTGTGGAGGAAGAGTGAGGATGCTAAACACATAAACAGAAATATCTTATAATTCACCCAGCCTCATATTAGATATTTATGAATGTTTAGGGGTTGTTTCATATTAGTTCTTATACCAAGTAAAGAGGAAATTCACAGCCAAAATCTCCAGAAAAGTTGGGAAGCAGAAGGAGAAGGAGGACAAGTATTTTTAAACAACAAACTCACAATAGCTAAAATGAGGGTCTTCCAAAGATCCTCAATCCACATGAAGGAATCTTCAGTCCTCTATCCCCAAGGGGAACACTAAAGGAATGGAAAATCTGTACCCCTCTCTGGGAACATGTTGTATAAATTCCTCTTTGGTATAACTAGCTCCATGAGTTTACATATCCTTTGCTGTTAAAGAAATTTCTCATGTTGTCATCTTTCCACCAATCATATCTTAGTCCCTTATTGTTACCCATAGTCTTTTTTTAAATCTCTAGCACCTTATATCAGTACTAGAGGCCTGGTGCATGAATTTGTGCACATTGAAAGGAAATTAATTAAAAGAAATATTTTAATATCACTATTCGCCCTTTCTCTATAATAGAAGTGTCAACCAAATTCATGATCAACAATGACAGATGGAAACACTCGCGTGCAATTGGAGCCAGCGAGAGCTTTATATGTGTAGATAAACTTGCTTAATTAGACCTGCTTTCTGATTTAACTAAAATTTTACCAGCCCAGTGAAGTACCCCAACTTCTCTTTCAAGTAATTGTCAGCAACACAGCAGTAAATATCAACACAAAGCAGATTATTATTGTAGATCACAGAGGGAGAACAAAGGGTGAAACATTTAACTGTAGCAGTGTTTGACTATATTCTGCGCAGTGAGAAAACCTGAAGTCATTTTCAAGTTCCAACATTTCTTACTTCTTTTCAGTCAGGTCAAGTTTCTAAACTTTCTAAATCTCCATTTTCCAGCTAATGACAAGAAAATAGGATTCAACTGAGTCTCCTATATACCTTCTGAGAGGATCAAATGAGATGAGGCACGTGAAAATGCTTCACAGACATTTGGTTAAAGTGTAAAATGTTTGCACCTGGCTATAAAGCAAGTCGGGTTCCTGGGCTGAAGAAACTCCAAGGAGGGTAGTCACTAGGGAGAGGAAGCGGGTATTGCTACGTGACGTCATTACCCGGCGCCCACAGCCACTGTTTCCAGGCTGGGCTAGGCTATGGGCCACATTTTGTGGCATGGCGTCTTGACAGCATTGGCTGCAATTTGGTGGGCTGTTGAATAGGGTGGTGGCGGGGCCTGTGTCCCACTTGGGGGAAGCCGAGTGTTGCTTTGTTGGCGCCAGGTCCATGGTGCCATTTCTTTGTAAATGGCTAGTGTGCATCATGGCAGCTCCTGCATTGAGCATCTGCCCCCTGGTGGTCAGTGCATGTCATAGGAACCAGTTGGATGGTTGGAGGGACACTTAGCATATTAGCCTTTTATATATATATATACAGATTAGATGCATTTCCTTTGTAACTGCCATTTTGAATTTTCTTTCAGTTTTTTGGAATAAGAATCATAATATTTATTTTATTTTTTTTTAAATATATTTTATTGATTTTTTACAGAGAGGAAGGGAGAGAGATAGAGAGTTAGAAACATCGATGAGAGAGAAACATCGATCAGCTGCCTCCTGCACATCTCCTACTGGGGATGTGACCGCAACCCAGGTACATGCCCCTGACCGGAATTGAACCTGGGACCCTTCAGTCCGCAGGCCGACGCTCTGTCCACTGAGCCAAACCGGTTTTGGCGAATCATAATATTTAAAATAAATTCCCAAATAGCAAATGGCAACAATGTAACTCTTAAAACCCATATTGCCATCTATGACATGCTTGCTCCTTTGGGCAAAGAAAAAATCTGTTTCTAAATTTCTTTCTTTTCAAGAATGGCACTTAGCAGGTGGTCTTAGAAGGAGTTACTTTGTAATAGTTTCTTTGAATATTTTCAAAACAATAAATATAAAAAATGAACTCACTCCTTTCTTTTTAATTTCACTGGTCATCTGTCAAAAGCAAACAAAAAGACAATTAAATCAAGTAGAAATTTTTAAGTGATTTAATTTTTTAAATACTAAAATATAGTTTAAAATATATGTAATATTCTTTAAAATACTAATTATATTGAAATTGACAAAATAATTAAGAATTAAAACAGCATTAAAATAAACTTTTTAAAGAGAAAACAAAAACTTACGATTGGAGGATCATCTGGCTCTGGTGATAAAGGTGTCCTTTTACTTAGTGTTTTGTCTAATTTTTTTTTGGCTCCCTCAATTCTGAAATATATAATTTAAAAATGTATGTTATCTCTAGAAGATAATAACATTAGGACATATTGTTAAAATATTACAATTTGAACATTTTTTCAATTATACTTAAAGAAGAGAGACTCAAGAGTTCTTTATCTTACCGAATTTTCTATGAGAAATAAATCCCCAAAAGCCATTACCAATGAGATCTTAATTTTCCAATTATTCATGTGTAATGTAAAAGAATTAGAACTTATTGAAAATTTTTAAAGTTAATCCTGACGCAATGTGGGTCTTTATATGTATTATCTCTCTTCAGAGAAACTTTCCCTTACCCCTTATATAAAGTTGCACTTCCTTCACTATCATCCCTTTTATCCTCACTTACTTTGATACATAGCACTTAGCACCATTTGACATATAATATGTTTTATCCATTTCTTATCCCCAGTGCCCAGTAGGTATCTGGCATAGAGTAGGTGCTCAATAAATAGTATTTAATGTACAAACTTATCACCCATAAAATACTCCTTCATCTGTAAATAAAGTTATGTCATCATATAATCTATCCATCACCAAATATATATTGAATGCTTATATTATGCAAGACACTCTACTAGGTTTTATTAAAATACTAGAGGCCCGATGCACAAAATTCGTGCATGGGTAAGGTCCCTAGGCCTGGCTGGTGATCAGGGCCAATCTGTGGGGTGACCAGCAGGGCAATCGCCTTGGCCGGCCTGGCACCACCCGCTCACTGGCCCCGCTCCCCACCACCTCCGGTTGCCTCCATCTGTGGGGCAACCAGCAAGGCAATCAGGGGGCCCCCGCTGGCACCCACTTTGGCTGACCTGGGGCCTGCAGGCTGGGGCAGTTCCTGCATTGAGCGTCTGCCCCCTGCTGGTCAGTGCGCATCATATCAATCAGTCATTCCACCGGTTGTTTCGCCATTTGGTCGATTTACATATTAGGCTTTTAGTATATAGGATTACAGCAACAAATCTCAAGGAATTTAAACTGAAATGGTAAGTAGATAAAAACAGAGTGCAAGGTATGGGACCCTGATGATTCAGAGGAGGGAAAAGTTCACTTACACCTGGAGATATCTGTAAAAGTTATAGGCTACATGAACAAGTTAGTATATGCAATGAGCTTCAAAGAAAGAGGATTTCAGGTAGAGATCTGGTTTTCTTGGGTAGATGGCTCTAAAAACACAAAGACCTCAGAAATAGGAAGGCCAGGAAATGAACAAAGGAAAAAACAGGAGTAGGAAATTGTCTAATTTTCCCAGAGTTTATGAGACCAGATGAAGATAAGTTTGGAGAAGTGGATTGGAATATCCAGCAAAAGACCTCAAATGGCAAGCTTTTTTACTCAATAGACAATGGAGAATCACTAAGAGTTTTTGAGCATAGGAACATTAGGAAGAGAAATCTATCAATTTGGAAAGGCTAAATGCACTACAAGAGCTGGCCAAAGCAGAGAATATACAAGGAAAATTAAAGACCTGAGGGGGGAAAAAATGGAGATGTCAAGCATGACAGGAAGGAGGAAGAACAACAATTGAAGGAGGTAAAGGAGATATGATTAGAAGCAAGAGGAGAACAAAAAGGAATTTTGAGAAAGGAAAAGGAAATTAATTTTTGAGGAAAGGAAACCATAAAATCATAGACTGGTAAACTCAATAAGACTAGGACCATGTCCATTTTGCTATCTACACCACTTAGATAGTGTCCAGTAAGATCAATAAATATCTGTGGAATGATCAGAACAGTGGATTTGGAAAAGATCTCACATGTCTAATTCAGTACTGGTGTATGAATACTCTAAAAAATATCAAATTGAACCCCAAATGGATGAGGGGGAATAACATTCATCACTTTCTGCATTAGCCCAATTTATTGTCAGCTAGCTCATATTCTTAGAAACAAATTTCTTATGTTGAGACTTTCTTATGTTGTAACTTATATTCTCTGGAGTTTTTTACAAAATGTCATATCCCTCTTCTTTGTTATCCTCCCAAAACTTAATACCTATCCAGTTCCTTCAACTATTCTTGTCAAAAAAAGTTACTATTTATGGTAAGCTCATTATATTCTAGGTATTGCCGTAAGGTCTTTATATACATGGACCTCATTTAACTCTCACAAAAATCCTAAGAGGTAAACTCTTCTAATCTCCATTTGACAGACAGTAAGATGAAGATCAGTAAAGTACCTGACTTGAAAAATTCACATGGCTAATAAGCTGCAGAGATGGAATCTGACCTGAGGCCTAGCTGATGACAGAGTCTATACTCTCAACCATTAACTGAATCAGCTTCCTTCAAATGAGATCGTTTCAAAACCCCTCACTCTCCTCTTTATTATGGTTTATCAGTGTTTCGTGCCCCACTTTTTTTTGTCTGTAATGTTTCATTTCTTTTATTTAAATAATATTCTATGCAAGAGGGGCAAAAAGTGAACCTGAGTTAATTCTTTGCATTAAGTAAACAATTCTTCCTCTATGAAAATCTGCTTTTCCTTTTCAAAAAACAAAGAAGGAAAAACATAGAACAAAAAGGGAATTAATAACACTTTAAGGAGACTTATACTTCCCTCTGTATTTCATCACCTATTGCAAAAATTAAATGTGATCATAGAAGTGGAGGTTCTAGTTGGGCTAATAGCAACAAGCATCTAATAAACTGTCCTTTATTTTCTTTTACAATTAAAAAGTATTTCACCTCTAGACAAACAATCAGCAAAGAAACAGCAATCCTAAATGACTCACTAGACCAGATGGACTTAATTGACATCTTCAGAACCCTTCACCCCAAAGCCACGGAATATACATTCTACTCAAGTGCTCGTAAGACACATTAAAAAATAGACCACATATTGGGTCACAAAAAAAGTCTCCCCAAATTCAAGAAGATTGAAATCATACCAAGCATCTTCTCAGACCACAAAGGCATAATATTAGAAATAAACTATAATAAAAACAACCCAAAATACTCAAACACTTGGAAGCTGAATAGCATGTTATTAAATATTGATTGGGTTACCAATGAGATCAAAGAAGAAATTAAAAACATCCTGGAAACTAATGACAATGAAAACACAACAATCCAAAACCTATGGGACGCAATGAAAGCAGTCCTGAGAGGGAAGTTTATAGCTCTACAGGCCTATCTTAAAAAACAAGAAAAAATGGTAGTAAATCATCTAACTCTACAACTCAAAGAATTAGAAAGAGAGCAACAAGAAAACCCCAGAGTGAGCAGAAGGAAGGAGATAATAAAGATTAGAGCAGAAATAAATGACATAGAGACCAAAAAAACAATACAGAAAATCAATGAAACCAAGAGCTGGTTCTTTGAAAGGATAAACAAGATTGACAAACCTCTAGCCAGGCTCACCAAGAAGCAAAGAGAGAGGACCCAAATAAACAAAATCAGAAACAATAGAGGTGAAATAACAACAGACCCCACAGAAATACAAATGATTGTTAAAAAATACTATGGACAGCTCTATTCCAACAAACTAGACAACCTGGAGGAAATGGACAAATTCCTAGAAAAATACAACCTTCCAAAACTCAATCAGGAAGAATCTAAAAATCTCAATAGGCCAATAACTATGGAAGAAATTGAAGCAGTCATCAAAAAGCTTCCAGCAAACAAAAGCCCAGGGCCAGACGGCTTCACAGGGGAGTTTTACCAAACATTCAAGGAAGAACTAAAACCTATCCTCCTCAGACTACTACAAAAAATTCAAGAGGAAGGAACACTTCCAAGCTCATTCTATGAAGCCAGTATCACCCTAATACCAAAACCAGGTAAAGACAACACAATGAAAGAGAATTACAGGCCAATATCCCTCATGAACATAGATGCCAAAATCCTCAACAAAATCTTAGCAAATCGGATCCAGCAGTACATCAGAAAGATCATACACCATGACCAAGTAGGATTTATCCCAGGGATGTAAGGATGGTACAATATCCGCAAATCAATAAACGTGATACATCACATAAACAAATTGAAAGAAAAAAAACACATGGTCATTATTAATTGATGCAGAAAAAGCATTTGACAAAATCCAACACCCATTTTTGATAAAAACTCTCAGCAAGGCGGGAGTAGAAGGATCATACCTCAACATAATAAAAGCCATATATGACAGGCCCACAGCCAACATCATACTCAATGGACAAAAACTAACACCATTTCCCCTAAGAACAGGAACAAGACAGAGATGCCCACTCTCACCACTCCTGTTCAACATAGTCCTGGAAGTATTAGCCATTGCAATTAGACAAGAAGAAGAAATAAAAGGCATCCAAATTGGAAAAGAGGAAGTAAAACTGTCCTTATTTGCAGACATGATATTATACATACAAAACCCTAGAGACTCCATCAAAAAACTACTAGACTTAATACATGAATTTGGCAATGTAGCAGGATACAAAATTAACCCCAAGAAATCTGAGGCATTTCTATACACCAATAGTGAACTTTCAGAAAGAGAGACTAAAAAAAAATCCCATTTACCATCGCACCAAAAAAATTAAGCTACCTAGGAATAAACTTAACTAAAGAGGTAAAAGACCTCTACTCAGAAAACTACAGGACGTTGAAAAAAGCGATAGAGGAAGACATAAAGAGATGGAAGAACATACCGTGTTCATGGATTGGTAGAATCAACATCATTAAAATGTCCATACTACCCAAAGCAATCTATAAATTCAACGCACTTCCCATTAAAATATCAATGGCATACTTCACAGATCTAGAACGAACTCTCCAAAAATTCATCTGGGAATAAAAAAAAAGACCCCGAATAGCTGCAGCAATCCTGAGAAAGAACAAAGTAGGTGGCATCTCATACCAGATATCAGATGTATTACAAAGCACTGTTCTCAAAACTGC